TCTAATGGAGCATGGACCTTGTGTGGACTAACTCCCGGGTAGTCCAATTTGCTTCTTCAGAAGAATGACCACCCTAGGGTGAGCCTATCTAGCAGTTTTCTTTCCAATATTTGTTTCAAAGAGGGGGTGCCTTTTCCTTCCTCTGAGCTGCAGGAGTTGCCCAAGATCACCCAGTGGGTTTCAATATCTGTGTGGGGATTTGAACCCTGGTATCCAAAGCTGAATTCAGTTCTGAAACCACTGCACCACACTGGCTCTCAAACCTGTGTTAGTTAGTGGTAAATAAATTCCATACATTCATTGGGATTTACTCCTATTGGGGATAAGATTGCAGCTTTAATAACATTTATCCTCCTCCTTTTCCAGATTTTGCTATAACTTGAACACTTTCATAATATTTTCCTCTGAGCTGTCATTTTGTCTTCTGCATTCTAAATAAACCATTAACAGACCTTTTTCAAATTTTCTTAACATCAGTTTCTCAGAAAGGCAAACAGCTTAATAACTTAATTCTCTAAAGATCTGGAAGTTAATACTGCTACATTTTGCAGCAGGTGATTGAGTCATTCCATTACTACTTCGCTGAGTAAACAGAATAGAAAATGGGCTGGCTGCTGAAGATTACATTTTTTGTGAATATGTTCTTTGCCTTAATTGAATCTAGCCTGATTTTTAAAATGTATAAAAGATTAGCATTTAGATTTGCTTGAAATTCCTTATTATTTTTCATTTTCCTTTTTAGTTGTTCTTATCTAGGACTTGCTCACAAATACGTAAGAAATAAAACAGATAAAATATTGGGTGAATGGCAACACCACCAATCATTGAGAATTCTGCAAATAAAATGCAATGAATTATTTCTGTATTACAATAAGGATTGGAATATATAACATTCTGACAATGTATTGCATTCAGTTAGCTATAAGCAGAATTACCAGTTCTACTCTGATCCACTTAATTATCAATACCTTTAACATAGGTTAATAGGAATTATAACTTTATGTACCTTAAGTGTATTTCTAAAGAAAAATGTTTCTCATAATAGCATAGACTACTAAAACCTAAGTATAAAATGGGTGAAATATATGAAGTCAGCCCATTAACTCTTATTTTAAAATACCATAGCAAAGCACTCACAATGAAAAACTGTAATGAATGCATTGAGATGCCATTAAACCTGGGTTTCTTACAAAGCAAGGGGTCTCATTCATTTCATTTAATGGGATGGGTTCTTGCATGGACCCTTTGGTGTGCAGAGCTATTCCCTTTGTCAGTTATGAATGAAGGATCCCTTCTCTGCTGAGTTATATGACCAGAGGTGTGAAGACTCCAGATCTGAGGTGAATGGTTAAATGAAGAGAAAAAAAGATCTAATTAATTGAACTTTTTAACCAATCAGTCTTATTTTTCCATTTGTTTCTCATTTATTTTTATGTTAGAAAAGAGAACTACTTAGGCAACATTCTGTAATTGGAGGTAACTAATTTTTACTTATATGTTATCATATTAGAGTGACCTGAGATCAAATTGACTGAAGGTACAGTTTTTAATTAAAACTAAAGAAACAGGAGCATGACTCCACTCATGTGATAAGATTTTTCAACCGTCTCTTTTACTTTGCAGTCCCCTAAGATCATTGCAAAACTGCTCCTGAAAATCGCTCTGTCATGGTTTAGGATGGAAATCCATTAGGAAAAGAGAATCACGAGGATCAAGGAGATGGCCTTTTACAAGCCAATCATGAGGATCAAGGAGATGGCCTTTTACAAGTTACAATCACAGCAAAATAAATATTTTGCTCTGATTGTTGTTACATGCCTCTTAAAAATTCATATTGCAGTAAATCTATTCAGAAGTTTTAAATAAATATGTAGGAATGATTTAGAATTTCTCCCTGTTTTTTCCTCCCCTTTTTCTTGGGATTTTTAGCCCTTGTTATTGCTAAAGTAACTACAATAGATTCACAAGTTGGAATTGTTGGGTTTACCCCCTTTTCTCCAGTATTCAATGTCTTCTTTTCCCTCTAGGATATCATTTGTATAGAGATGTGTCATAGTATTCCTGTGGTTTTCATTTATGAACACTTTCTTCCAGCTTTTTGTATGTTATTTCCTCTCAAAGAGACATAATCTCCTTTTACTTTCTCAGAAATACAATAAACGATGATAATAACATTTCCTTTATCTCTGCTTCTCATTATCTTTATCTTTAATCATGTTGAAAGATTATAAACAGACAGAGCCATATTATATGTGGTGTAGAGAAGCAGTCACTCTGGGGAAAATCAGCCAAACCAAGCTTTATCTTGGGTAATAAAACTCCTTTGTGAAGTTGCTGCTGACTTTGTCATTAGGAAGCCATGCTTTTGATATCAGGCATTTTTATTTCTGTTCAGTAGATTGAAGAATGATTGACTAGATTTTTTTTAAAGTAAATACTTACTGGTAGTTTTTTTTAAAAAAAATGTGCTGTTAACCATCAGCAAAAAATGCATCCCTCAAGTTCTTGCATCTCATTTAGTGTTATGTCTACTGCTGGGAAAGGGAGCTGTCATTCAGTGCTGAAATACTCTGTTATCAGTTTAATGGCTCGATCTTATAAGGGCAGAACAATCTTGGCAGTCAAGATTTCATTCACAGAAACATCAAGTTAACAGGATGCATGTACAGAGAAATCTCAGTAGACAGCAGGTAGGTGTGCTGATTCTCTTTGATCATTTACTTCCATCTGGAGATGCCTATCTATCTATCTCCTGATTTGGAACCCGTTGAATGGCAAAAAGACTGCCAGAAATTGATGATTTTGAGAGCAATGTCAGAAGAAAAAGGAAGAATTAGACATTCTTCATCATTTTTAGTGGCAAATGTTCTCCAGGCCCTACAATAGGCCCAATTCAGAAAGTTGAAAGACCCCAAACATGCTCCCATTCTTCATTTGATTAGATTACATTAGATTAGGTTTTAAATTAGATCCAGACAGTGATTTTACCAAGATACTCCTCCCTTATCCTGAAGTGTAGAGAAGGGGAGACCAAAGAATATATACAGTCAGTCCTCAACATATGCAATTTTGACTTTTGTGGACTTGATTATTCACAGATTTGATTAAAACATTCTCTCTAGGAATCCCTAGATAGTCCACAATGATTCTACAATCAAATTCTGCTGAAAGCTGATCATAGAGTCATAATGGTAAACCTTGAGAATCTTAGAAGGAACATCTCTCTAGAAATCTATAGATATACTAGAGCAATCCAGCAGAAGTTGATCATAGACTCATGCTGGAGAAATTAGATATTCCTAGAGAGATGTTCTCTCAGATTAAAAATAAAAGGTGTATTATTTGTGGTTTTTTTCACTTTTGTGAGGGTCCTGTTCCCTTAACCCCACCAAATACGGAGGGCTGACTTAAGCTGTCAGGAGAAGGAGGGGGACATATTTCAAAGAAGCCAGTGTCATGGGAGCAACAAAGTATGATGAAATGCAACATCTGAATCAACTGGTACATTCTCTAGATATAATAATTTTACTTGTAAATAACTAGATTTAGGACTGGGATTGCAGAGCATAAGTGTTTTGTGGATATAAAATGTACAAATTCTTTTGTATTTAGTCTACTTGTTGACAATGGAATGAATGAAATGGGTGCATTATTATGCTAATATGTTTATGCACAAATAGCTCACTGCCATTGTAGATTCACATGATTTTCTTAAAATTAGTATTATAAGTTTGAGGAAGAGTGGGAGGCAGAGAGATCATTTTCCATCTACTCTTAGATGATGTCCAAGCCCCTTCCCTTCCCACTTCTCTCCCACGATTCCCAGAACTAGAGAAAATGAGTTGGACAAATTCAGTACAGTACATTGTAAAATGTTCAACATTTTTGTACAAACCGTTTTAACATAGAGTTCACCACAAATAATGGTACCAACTCTTTAGCCACATTCAGAACACATTCAGAATGGAATGCATAGACATCAAATCTGACTCAGCAAAACTCATTCTGTTTTCAAATTACAGTGTTTGGAGAGAGCTCAAGCTGAAGGATCACTGTGTTCTGTCTGCCTATTAGGATAGCTGATTAAAAATACAAAACAATCAAAAGTCTCCTACATTTTTGTATGACCAATCTCCCACACTATCTATTAATGTATGAATTACAAGAACTGATACTGTATATTTTCCATCTTAATGCAGATTACCCCTTCTCTCCCACCTTCCACCTTCTACCTGCACCATCTTAAATATTTGCTTGCAGTGCACTTGCACTGTAGACTTAAGGCAGTGTAACACCACTTTTAACTGTTATGGTTCAATGCTATAGAATGAGACTTAATTTTTACAAGATCTGTAGCATTTTTTGCCAAAGAGTGCTAGTGCCTTACCAAACTTCCAGGAATCTCCAGTACTGACCTGTGGCAATTAAAATGGTGTCAGAATGCATTAGATCTGGTATTGAGCCAGCCTCAGAAAACTTTCTGAGTGCCAGATTTCATGCTAAACTTCTGGAGTGGAGAACTGGAAGAGAAAATGGAAGGTGCTATGAAAGCTACACTCCACAAGAGCAGGCTTAGGAATACATTCGTGCTCATGTTTCTGAGATTGCAGGTTTTCACATAATGAACATATAAATTGACAACATAAACTTCTGTTGCTATTGATATTGACTCCTCTTGGATGTTAGAGACAAATCAGCATGGGCAGTAGTTCTAACTGGCTGAAATGTTTTGTGTTTTCTTTGAACAGGGACAGATGATAAATTGTCAGTGTATGATGCCAGCCGATCCACTTGGCTTACACTTTTGCTGGAAGCTGTTAAATGTTTTTAAAGCACTCCATTTCCTTCTATCATTCTGGCAGCCAGACAAATTATCTTGCCTTCATGCTGGGCTATGTAACTGGGGAAAACTTAGAACTTAGCTTTATTTTTATTTTTATTTTAAAAAAGAAAGCTTTCATGTATTTCAGGCCATGCTTACCTTGTATTTCCTTTTGCAGTTTGTCGCCCATCCCAATTGTCAGCAGCAGTTACTCACCATGTGGTATGAGAATCTCTCAGGCTTACGCCAGCAGTCCATGGCTGTGAAATTCCTGGCGGTCTTTGGAGTCTCAATAGGCCTTCCATTCCTTGCCATAGCATACTGGATTGCTCCCTGCAGCAAGGTACAGATTGGTTAAGGTGCATGTTTGTTTATCATTATTTACATACATAGAAATGTAGATATCCTACAGGCTTGACAAAGATGCAGACACATTAACTTTGATCACAAATACATGTTGTCTTCTTAGGAGGTAAAAGGAGTAGAAGAAAATCTTAAGGGCCTCCTAGCAGTTTACCAAGGGAAGGGAAGAAAACCATCAAGCCCCCTGTAGCAAAGCCGTTTGGAAACTTGTTCTCCGAAGTAGATTGAAAGAACATTTAGAAACAAAAATAAAAACAGAAATAGTAAATAAAGGCAGACTGTCACTTTGACTAGTTATTCAGTGCCATGTGTGAAAACAGATGCCCTTGGAGAACCTATAGGTGTTGAGTGAGAACCCTTGGAGAGTTCTTTGCCATAGTACAGCAAGTGAATATGACTGTGGATGTATGCAGGGTCAACCTTCAATGTTTTCAGTTGAAGGAGCTCAGGAAGCAGCCCAGGGAAAAACTACTGGGACAGGGGGACTCATGTACTGAGTTAGCTCAGGTCATATGTTTAATTAGAATGGTTCTCTGACTATAAAGCCGCCTTGAGTAGCCTCTGGGTTGGAGAAAGGCAGGGTAGAAATGTCATAAATAAATTAGATGAGAGTTCTGCAAGCACAATTACATTAGCATTCAGTGGTGCGGTTGAGGTATGAGACTATTTATGGACTCTTTCTCAATTGTCCTCCATCTAAAGGAGTTTTCTCTCCCTGGATTGTAGCTGGCATCCCAGCCACAATCACATGTTGGATGGATGCTGAGAGACTCTGGGTGCTTCACATGTTGGATGCTGAGAGACTCTGGCACCATAATCCGTATTTTAGAAATGGGTTTAAAAGTCTTGAGACCTGACAGCAGGTCCACCCACAGACCTGTCAGTCTTGGGATATAATCTCTCACTGTCTTCACAGTCTTCTTTTGAAGCAGATCAAGATGGAGGGTGGACAGAGGACATTCAGTGGACTTTTAAAGACATCCTTCCGCTGTTAGACCATATATGTGCACATGCAACTATCTTAATATAAACACAAGCAGATTTGCACATATCAGATCCAGCACATAACAGAGGGAATTTTTTTCAAAAATCTTCTTTCAGATCTCTCTCTTCCCTCAACTGTTAATTCAAGCTCTGCTTAAGATAATAAAGTGTAAAATAAAGACTTTCAGAGAATTCAAATTGCTTTCCATTTGTGTTTCCCTTGAATCACCCGTGTGTCCATTTAACAGCCTGATCAGCTGTTTGGGGTTTTTTAAAAGCACATATGCACTGGAGAAGTCTGCAAAGGGGGGAGAAAAGGAGAGCATGTGTTTTGTATGACTGCAGGGATATACAGTCATACAAAGGTGCACATTTTTCACCTGGAATTGGGCTATAAAGTGCACCTTTTTAACATGTGCTTTTATCCTCTTACCCTGATCCCTCACACACTTTGGCTAAGTGTCATTTGGCCACACACACACACACACACACACACCTTTCAACCCAATTACTTCTGGGTTTTATAGCTTGTGTAGAAGGGGTCTCCTTCTTGAGTCACTCTCCTCCAAGACACATAGCCTTAGCTATCCGGTGCTTACTGAATATCCTCATGGTCTTGGTCTTGAACTTTCAAAAGAGTTATCCAAGATGCTAGGCTCATTTAAGAGAAGGGCATATCAGCTTCGATAGGGTTTTTAAAAAATCAGGGTAAATTTGCCCACTTATTCGGCATGGAAGCTACCAGTCACCCTTGCTTTCCTGTTTGATCTGGTTAACACTCACTGGACATCTTTCTTTGCCCCTAAAGTCATGATTTGAGGGTTGGGCTATGACTCTGGAGAAAATCTTGCGACCTGGATTTATTCCCCATTTGGCCATGGGAACCCACACAATAAATTCAATGGGAATTCCTTTTGAGTTGATATGAATAGGATTATGCTGTAAATATAATACAAATGGCTCATGAATAGAGAGGTTGGTAAGCCTTCAAAGGAATGTTATATGCATTATTACAGTTATGATTGTGATTACTTATTTGTAAGATGCCCTGGAATCTTTTTGATATAAGAAGAACCAGCATTGTATAGTATCTTGAGCATTGGACTATGGAGACTGAGGTTTAAATCCCCACCCAGGCATGGAAATCTACTGGGTGATCTTGAGCATGTCACATGCCCTCAGCCTCAGAGAAAGGAAAGAGTAAGCTCCCTCTGAATCAGTCTTACCAAGAAAATGCCTTAATAGATCACCTTAGTGTTGCCATAAGTTGTAGATGATTTGAAGGCTTACCATCAATGCAACAAAAGCCGAAACATTTAAATATATAGATATAGATAGAAACATAAATGCATAATTTTATGTAATATTTTCCTATCATTTAATGAGGTCTCAAGGCAGAAAAAGAGATAAAACAACGAAGACAATTTAAACAAATCCAGATTAAAATAACTGAACAATTAAAAATATGTATATGAACTCAGCAAGTCAAACAGTTTTAAAAATCTAAGAGTTTTTTCCCTAAGATACATGCTTAAAAGTCAATTGGGTTCTTAAAACCTTAATAATAAACATGTATTATTCTGATACGAAAAAGAAACAATTTGGGTTTCCAAGGGGAGGGCATTTGCAATCATAGTGCCACACCCAAGAAAGCTATTTACCATATTGCTGCTCTTAATGGAACAGAGAGGGTGCTTTCAGTCCTCAGGCAGACATAAATGTATTTCAAACATGGGTGGGGATAGAGGTGGATAAAATGGATCTTGGCCATGTGAAATAAATTACAGGCATCATCTTTCTGCTAACATACACAAGGACAGGCCCAACATAACCTGCATATATTGTTGTTGTTGCAGAAATTAGTATTGACTCCCTTTCTCTGCAAAGATTAAAGCCTCCCATCCCTTGTTCCAGATTCACCATTCAACTGCAATAATCATCTACCAGGATCTCAGTGGATGATGTTTTTCTCATCTTCCTTGGCACTCAACCAGCCACTGAATGGTTGCTGAGACGAGCTTGCAGCCAAGCTGATGGGGCAGTTGGGAGAGATGGAGTGTAGTTCCACATGCAAACTTTTACAGGATTTTGACCATGAACTGTTAGGGGCAAATCTAATGCCCAGACTTCGAAACATTAGTCCTTAGAACACCAGCATTAGTCCTTAGAACACCAGCATTGTAGAAAGCATTTGGGACAGATAATCAGAAATTGTCCACCTGGATGGCTCAGATAGTGACATGTTTGCTTTTTGATAATTCAATTTATGTTAACTTTTTATTTAAAATGATTTAAAATATTGTGTAGACCATTGACTTCAGCCTATGTGTATCATGTATATATGTATATATCTTATTAATGTACACATATGCAATTACGAATATTCCAGAATCTGTAAAACAAAATCCAATAACACTTGAGGATAAGGAATGCTCAACCTATTTAAGGTATAATCTCATTCAGAAAATGTCTCCTTAGGGTTTTTTTCCCCCAAAAAGAACAAAAAGCATGGATAACTCCAACATCTCCCATCTCCTAATGTCATTGCTTCAGTCACCACTCTTACTGGCTTACAGCCTTTTTAGTGTGCCACTTGCAGAAAAATATACAGTGTGCTTTGTTTTGTTATTTTAAATAACCATGCCTTAATATCAAGGCAAGAACAAGTTGCTAACCTCCACAAGTCCATGGAGAACATGCTGAAGAGCACCAGCTGAATAAACAAAGATTAGAGACTGAGATCAAAATCTTCTAGTTTTTAGATGATTCAGAAGTTCAGAAGATCTGCATTATTTATCTACCTATAAATGAGATTTTTATGAAGATCTGAACGCTATCACTCCAAGGAAACCTTCTACTGTTTGGAAATTAAATATTGATGTTATACTGATTAAATATAGGATTTCTTACAACAATGAAGGGAAGTGAAATAATATTTAAAAGGGCTCATTGGCTTCTGTGCTAGTTCACAATTAATCTAGCAAGTAGGGGTGTGAATCCTTTAATTGTGGAAGGTAGATCTGGGTTTAATTAAATTGGGATTTAATGGACTTGTTCAAAGTTTTGCTCAATCTTCAAATAATTATATGGGAAAATTGTATCAGTATAGAAAAAGACAACATTACATTCCACCTTCATGTTTCATGTATGAAAAAGACAACAATCAGGTGAAAAGTCCTATCGTAGAACATAAGGCTTTACCACGCTAGCTAAACAAAAATAAAAACCTGACTCACCTCAAATGGAAGGCTGTGTGTCATCATTATGCACAGTTACTTCCAATGAGTTTGTTGTTCATTCGTTCAGTCATTTCCAACTCTTCATGACCTCATGGACCATTCAACGCCAGAGCTCTCTGTCAGCTATCACCACCCCCAGCTCCTTCAAAGTCAATCCAGTCACTTCAAGGATGCCATCCATCCATCTTGCCCTTGGTCAGCCCCTCTTCCTTTTTCTTTCCCTTTTCCCCAACATAATTGTCTTCTCTAAGCTTTCATTTCTTCTCATGATGTGGCCAAATACTTCATCTTGGCCTCTACTATCCTCCCCTCCAATGAGCAGTTGGGTTTTATTTCCTAAGTATGGACTGGTTGGATCTTATGGCAGTCCAAGGCACTCTCAGAACTTTCCTCCAACACCACAGTTCAAAAGCATCTATCTTCTTTCAGTCAGCCTTCCCTATCGTCCAGCTCTCACATCTGTAGGTGACTATGGGGAATATCATTGCTTTAACTATGCCAATCTTCATTGCCAGTGTGATGCCTCTACTCTTCAATATTTTATCAAGATTGGGCATTGCTCTCCTCCCAAGAAGTAAATGTCTTCTGTTTTCCTGGCTGCAATCTGCATCTGCAGTAATCTTTGCACCTAGAAATACAAAGTCTGTCACTACCTCCACATTTTCTCCCTCTATTTTCCAGTTATCAATCATTCTTGTTGCCATTATCTTGGGGTTTTTTGACGTTTTAAAATATTGTGTAGACCCAGCTTTTGCACTTTCGTCTTTCACCTTGATTAGAAGGCTTCTCAGCTTCCCCTCGCTTTTGGCCATCACAGTGGTATCATCTGCATATCTAAGGTTGTTAATGTTTCTTCCAGCAATTTTTACCCCAACCTTGCATTCATCAAGCCCTGCACATCGCATGATGTGATCTGCATACAAGTTGAATAGGTTGGGTGAGAGTATACTATGAGTATCCTGGGGCTTTTGGGTTTAAACTGCCTTTGTCCTGTTGCAGGAAAAGTCAAGAAATACTTCTGGGTTTTCTGGAGCATTGGGGGCAGTTTGGAAATTGGGAGCTGGTCTAAATTTGTCTCTCATGCCAGTAGATGTCCAGGAGTTCGCACAGAGTTCTATGACTGGCCAGAAGTAGCAGGGGTGATGACATAGAGAAGGAGAGATGTCTGACCAACAGCCACGAATTCGACACCAGGCTAAACTGCCCAGTATATATGAGTCCATAAAGTTGTAAACAATTAAAGAATCCCACCATGGTTGCTTCTTTCCCTTAAACATGCAGAATCACTGAAACTTCATGACATATTTCCTGTACCAGTACATGCTTCGTATTTTGATGAAACCCAGTTGAAGCACATTTTTAAAATAGAGTCTCCAATTAGAAATCTAAAGGACAAAACCATAGATTCATTGCACAGCAAGAGCAATTGGAGGATTCCTTCTTAACCTACCTATGTCTCTCTCATACTTCACACTTATAGCACATTGGTTCCACTTTTAACTTGCTGTATCTATATGCTGGGGAATCCTATAGTTTAATGAGGTCCAAAGCTTTCCAGTGGGCAATACCTCAAAAAACCATAAAACCCAGATTCTATAGGATAGAACCATGGCAATTAAAGTGGAATGATAGCTGTATAATTGTATCGTGTGCAATGGATCCTAAATGCTGATGAGTTTTCAGTTAGATTCAGAACATGAGCATCATGCCACCATTAAATATTCTAAGGGAGGTGAAGAACCTAATTATTATAAAACTTCAAAATCATAGAAGCAATTATGCCAGTAATGTGTCCTTCTATATAAAGGATATCCCATATTTGTTTTAATTTCTGTTGCACCCCACTTAACTTCATTGGCTGGCTATATATCATCTTACTGATTCAGCTCTTCAACCTGATATTTAATGGCGAAGAGAGTGATTTTGCAAACTGTGAGAGAAATCTCATGCTTGAGAATGCTTGAGGTGTTTCTTTTGGTTTTTCACTGCAAATTGTGCCAGAATTGGGCAGGGGGAAACTGTCCCTTATCGAATTTTACCCACTTCATGCATGTCAAACATTCTCACATATTTCTTCAGCACTGTATTTTCTCTTATCAGTCTTGCAAGATGTAAACATAGATGGTTTGGTCGTTATATGTAGATTTCAATATAAGTGCCTAAAATTATATCAACACTTTGAGAACTTGCTATGCTAGTACTGTGAAAGCTGAATTTTCGATTTAGCAAATGTATTCTGTGTGTTTTTTTTTTACTTTAAAGAGTTCCCTTGACTTCAAAGAAACCTATGTATGTATGATTAAAATGAGTGCAGAGGTCCAATGAAAAACTGGAAGGAGGATAACAGCTTTTGCTCTTATATTTGGAGAAAATGATTTCTAACTTTTGAGATCACATAGGCTTTTCAAGAGGCTTCCCAGATCTGACAAGCCTGGGCTTTTATTTTTACAAGTTTCTTGGCACAGCTGTATTCCTTCATAATGGGTATTTGTTATGGAGACATTGGAAATGGCTTAGGGCCCACATAGATTAAAGGGCTGTGAATCCATTTGTTTAAATCTTGATTTGCTCCACTAACATCAAATGAGGGAGGATTAAAGTGCAGTTCTATCTGCAAAAATGGGTGACCAGAGCCAAATCCTCCTCTTATCCCTAGCTTTCATATTTCAAACCCTCTCCAAAGCAACCTTATTTTTGGGAGGAGGGAGTGAAATTTGAACTGAAAAGTGCCAGGAGGAACAGTTTGCAGAGAGGTAAAGCTTTAGGCAACAGAAGACGTCAATCCATTTACCATTTTGGTTCAGTTTCAGGAAGAGAAGAGAAGAACATATTATTCTGATATGTCTCAGAAATTTATTTCAGGAAAGAAATAAAATGATGTGGGAAGTGCTAGAAATAGCAGTGAAATCATCCAGGCCAGAAGAAATGTTGTTTTTAGATAGATAGATAGATAGATAGATAGATAGATAGATAGATAGATAATAGATAGATTTATTTTTTAAAAAAATTAAGAACACAGCAACCAATATTTCACTTCCTAACACATTTGCTCCATCCAGAGAAGTATTATTTCTGTTGTGTATAAGATGAAAGAAAACCATGAGAGAAGCCTAGTAACTCTGAAAATCATAGAGGAGGATAAGGCATTAAAGTTTTGTGTCTGCTTTGTTTCCAGCTGGGACGTACACTCCGGAGCCCCTTCATGAAGTTTGTAGCACATGCTGTGTCTTTTACCATTTTCCTTGGACTGTTAGTTGTGAATGCCTCAGACCGATTTGAAGGAGTCAAGCTCCTTCCCAATGAAACAGCCATGGACCATCCCAAACAAATATTTAGAGTAAAAACCACACAGTTTTCATGGACAGAAATGCTCATCATGAAGTGGGTTCTAGGTAAGTGGAAATATGATTTTTTTAATAATTCTCAAAAACACAAATAAATATTCTAGAAACAGGAGTTCACAAAATAACTTTCCAGTTACTGGCAAAAAATTTCCAACTGCTATATTGCATAGCTCATTGTTGCAATAAATGTCACAGGCTTTTTCCATTCAAGTAAATAAGAACTAGGCATAAGAAATGTTCCCCATGCTCTACAATCTACTCTGTGCTTAAAAAGTGAGGAACTAAGGATTATTTATCTAAAACTGAAATTATCATTGACACAACTGAGTATCTATTCAGCTACTTCTCTCTATACTCAATTATTCTGTGATACAAATAAACAACTGCATCCATTCATGCAAATAATGGTAGGTTACATACCTGTGACCATCTTTCTTCGAGTGGTGCTCTGCGAATTCACACTTGTGG